CAGTTAAAGGTAGGGTAGGCTATTTTTTTCATAAACCCTTATTGTTATTCTGGTTGAAACTCTCTTCACATCCTGATAGGAATCAATAACAGAAGAGGTTGTAATTTAACCACTTAAAATAAAAATTAAGAATAATTTTATATATATCTTCTGTGGAAGTCTCAGGACCAAAAAAATGTTCGTCCAATCATTGCATTTGGTCCGAATGTGTGCTTTGAGACATGAGGTAATTTAACGCCGCCCCTCATGTGTTTTGAAGGAGACGTGGCTTTGGAGACGCTCAGAAGGCAGTGTGGGATCTAATGCTTTCGAAGCTAGCTTGCTTTTGCTAGCCTCTATGACATTCCCAGGGCTTCATTTGAGCCGGAAGTCGCCGGAACATGTTCCGTCACCTCCGACGTTGGATCCGGAACCTTTTTTATTGGATCCGGCACCTCCTGTGTCACAATGGAAAATTAGTTGCCTTAATGAACAAAAATAAAATTACTGTTTGTGTAGTGTTCTATGTTCTCTTCTTTTTCATATGGGGTGCCAGAGACCCCTATGCTGAATATGTCAAAATAATATCAGTCATTTTGAAATAAACCTTTAATAACTTTTTTTTGGTGTATTCTTCAGACTTATAGTAGGCAGATTTACTTCAAGAATTAAAGGTATCGTAGGCAATGTCCAGTGCTTAATTTGTAAAGTGGGGGAGGTCCCGGAGCGCAGAGGGTTGGTGGATCCGGCGACTCAAAACGGGGGTTTTAGAGACCTAGCTCAGATCTGTTATTTGTCTGCTTTGATTTGGCAATGTACAGTACGCGTTCAAACAGTGCAGTGCTGCTTTGCTTGACAGAGACGTCTTGAGGACTTGTGATATTCCCTGAAGAAACTAACATAATTTCTTTTTCATGCTTCTTCTTAATCATCTCCAGCTTGAGACGACTATCAACTTCACATCTTTATCCGTGCGACGCTCCAGTATAATTGCTCTCATATGAGTCATCAGAGGCTCTGGTAGTTTGTCATGCCATGCACTGTACCGTAAGAATGTTCAAACGCAAAATGGATAATTCTACCATTTATCCTGTAGTCCTTTAATTAAGCAGCCCAAAATACTGGTTTACCAACGATTCAATTATCACCTACACAGTGACTGATTGCAAATTCTTACAAATTGACTAAATCATAACAAGAACTTTAAATTCTAATTAAATTGTAAAACAGTGGAGTAATTGTAACTTCCATTCCTGAAAAACTTTTTTTTGCTGTCAACCCAAAACTACTGATGTTCCTCATTGTAAGTTGCTTTGGATAAAAGCATCTGCTAAACAAATCAATGTAAATGTAAAACACCTTTAATAAACTCAAACTCGAATACATGAACATTAGGGCTGCCTCCTAATAATTGATCAAACGTTAGTCGACGAGAAGAGGCTTAGCCCACCAATTACCCTGTGAGTCTCAGAAAAAAAACTGAAGACAGACAGTAGAACGTTAACACGTGGTAATCATGTTGGGCAGGAAATCCATACGATCACCAATCATTCGTCAACCTCAAATATGGCTTATCATTTGAAACATGTAGTAGCCTAACATTAGCCACTAACATGGCCGCTCTCTCTAACGTTAACCTAAATAAATGTGCGCTGTTATTAGGCGCATATCCAAGTGTTTGTGCGGAAGGAAAATTACAGTAGTACCACACTTACTGCATGACATTGAACTTAACGTGTATTTCTCTCTATAGGTGCATCCCCTTTATTTGTGCGCTTGATACCTTCATTTATATTTCAAAGGCTCATTATTATGGTTTTGTTAGCAAAGTTACACATTCTTTCTCAGCCCTGAAACTCCAACCATTTGCCGATGTATCAGCATATACATTTAAGTAATTAAATGAATATCATAAACATGCAACTAGTCGACTAATGGCTTAAATAAACGACTAGTCGTTTATGTTTTTTTGTGGGCAGCCCTAATACTCAGGTCCAAAACCTAGTGAGCTGCCAAGTCATTTTATAGTCCCTATGAAATAGCAGTTTCCTGTCCTGTGTTGGCATATTTCAAACAGATTAATAAACTCTAGAAATCATCAATATTTATATAGACTATTTTACTCCATATTACCAAAATAGATTTCTGAACCCAACATTGCAATTATGTGTTTTACGCGGTTTCTGCCTATGTAGAGCATTTCAAATCAGTCACATATTAGGTTACATTTTAGTTAGAAAGCTGTCTTTGTAGCTGCCTATGTTGGTAGTCGTTAGACAACAAGGTAGCACACTTGATTTTGGAACAGAGCTCCCGTCTTCCCAACTTTGTAGAGGAAATATGATTTAAACCAGACATTATTATGCAGAAAAATCATAAAATCAACTTTTGTCAGAGTGTGTAAAGACTCATTAGTGATATAGCGGAGAGTTGGAGAAATCAAAAAAGTCTAACTCATTACCATACCAATCTGCCCCCTGTGGACTGGAGCTAGCACATGTTCCTGTACCTCTCTCACTATCATCTCCTGAGCTCTAAAGAAAAAGAATAGACGAGAAAAGGTTATCTGGAAAACATCCCCACCTCCTGTACTCTAAGGAAACCTCCTTTACAAAGTTTTATAGACCGGTTTGAAAGACAAGGAGTGTAACTACTTAAGCTCTTAAGGTGAAATGTGGGTTTTGTAGGGATATTCTGACTTTTTTTCTTCCGAGAAGTGAGTTTTATTTAAATTTTGGTGGGTGTTTTTCCAGATTTCTAGTGGTCAAAAGGATTTCAGTGAGTGCTTTTGAAGCAGTTGTAAACTACAGCTCCCTTGTGCACGAATCATAAAACTTTAAAAGCCCCTGTAAACCCAAAACGTAATTTTTTCAGTTGCCGGGGACAAAAATTACAATTAGGTAAAGCATGTCAGAGTAACAAGAATATCTTCTCGAAACACCCACACATTAGGTGGGATAGGAATTTCAATGAGCGAGCATAATCAAATAACTGTACGTTATTGGAATATGATTTATATAAAATTCTACAGGCGAGGAAAGAAAATTCTGTTAATGTTCATCATTTCTCTCTTTAGGCTGAAAATGAGTGCATGAAAGCTCAGAGCTCTGTCGATACCGCTTACCACCCCACACTGTGTGGCCATTATATGAACTGACGCATTTGAAAGTAATGGATTTGCAGGCTTAAACCAGACTTAAATAACACAGATATTTTATATCCCTGTCTCATTCAGGCAGCAAAACAAAGTTTCTTTTTTTAATCAGGGGTTGGAATGGGGCGTGTTTGTGGGATTCATTTGCATATGCAAATGTCACCAAAGAGAGGTACTGGAAGAGTTGAGGGACCTAAAAGGGCTGAGATCACAGCTGTCAGTCAATAACTTTCTAATCTCTCTGAGTGAAAAAAAGCAAAAAAGAGTTTGACAGGTTACAATTTCTGGACCAAGATTACGAACATAAACCGCAGTTTGCATTACAGAAAATAGATACAAACACCACCAACGTGAAAGGATCTAGGTTTAATATCAGTCCTGGTGGGAGATTAAATATAAGACTATTCGATTATGTTTTAATTTATTTTTGAATCTCTATTTTGTACCTCAATTTTAAGCCCCTTTCACACAGCGCGTTGATCCCGGGAAATTGCCAGAACGCCTTCTGTGTGAACGCAAACACGACCCGGGATTGATGCAGGGTTGGGGACCTAGTAAGATTTTCGTGTTCAATCCCGGAACGCACGCTATGTGAACAAAAGCTGTAATCAATGCCGTGTCGTAATGATGACGCTGAAGCCGGGATCGTTCGCCAGCTAGTGAAACGGTACGTAATGCGCTAATTTATGATCGAATCAGAGAGAAAAATGCACAAGCGTGGTTTTGCACAAGAAATCGCAGCTCATAAGCAAACTTAAGACGCTGCTGAGACATTACATGTCACATCGATGTCACGTGTCTTTACGGGATTTTTACGGGTTGTGTGTGAACGCACTCTCTGATTCTGGAAAATCACTGGCAGTGTGAATGAACCAAAATCAAACGAACCCGGGTCAAATTGGCAGCAGCGACAGCAGTAAACCACCCTCGTGTCGTTCCAAACCCACAATAATTATTTTCATCTTCGCAACACAAATAAAGATATTTTAATGAAACCTGAGAGATTTCTGTCCCTCTATTTAAAGTCCATTACACCAAAACCTGCATAAAAATGAACTTGCATTTGAACTGAGGGGTTTAATCCAAGTCTTCTGAAGTGACGTGATCGCTTTATATGACAAACAGATTTAATTCAGGATTCATCTGGGTTTGGAACAACATGAGTATGAGTGATTGATGACAGAATTGTAATTTATTGGTAAACTATCCCTTTAAGCAGATAAACAAACAAAATAAATACAACTATTAAAACACACTTATTTATATAACGAAGGCAAAGGTGCATTATGTACAGCAGCAAACTAAATAAATAAATAAGTGACTAAAATGAATTAGACTTCTGAACCCAGTACAGGGGAAAAAAAACAAGTCCCTACAAAGCTACTAGCTTAAAGTAGATATAAAGATAAAGTAGCTTGTTAGGGAAAAGGTTGAACTTTGAAATTATTTCAGCGCTTTGAGAAATGTAGTAGCGCCTCTGTAGAAATGCACAAAACATGCTGCAAGTACCAGAGGGCCTGTATATGAAAAGAGCAGAAGAGTTTAGAAGAAGAGTCAGTAGGCAGAGATGCTTATATTTAATAACTAAATGCCAAAGGGCTGTATGGTGCAGGTCACAGTATATGCGTATGCGTTTGAATCTTTCTTGGCCAAAACTTTACGAAGAGAGCAGAATTGTAAGTGAGAAAAAAAAAACCTTTTTAGTTTGGAGTGTTTTTGCCTGAAGCATTGATCTTAAACTTTGAACTTCTGGGTCATTCAAGTAACCAGCAGCCTTCTGATGATAACGTCTTTGATACCATCCTTCTCTAGATCCAGAATTCTTTTAATTCGGTTAATAGAGCAGACCGATTGAAGGGTTACTGACCTTTTTCCGAAGTTGGCTTCCTTCCTACGGCAGTGCAGAGTGACCACTCTGTGTCCCTCACTCCTGACGTCTTGACTAACTGTCCACTGAACCGGGTTACTGGCCCTCGCCCCCAGAAACGCCACACCATCCTTCAACTTGACTCTGTTAGAAACATCAAAAGGATCATTCAGTATAGCCTATGTAATGTGTTTTTTTAAATAAAAGAACAAAAAGTTTATAGATCATCTTTAATTTATTTATGTTCCTTTGTGCGAAAAACTTAATACATTTACTTTAAAAATATATATAACATGTATATACCTTTATTGCATTTTCCATGACACACCTCTTGGAAACTGGATGATTAACAAAAATGTTTCCTGTTCTTAAACAGATTGCAGTTGTTTTGCCTTATGCATTATACAGACAAAGGGAGAGACTAACCAAAAGCTCATGTAATACACTGTAGGCTACAGATGTGCTTGTATAACCTCAAAATCAGTTTGAGTCATTGTGTTCTGCTTTCTTCACATACAATCATAATTGTATGTGCTACAAAAGATCTCTGTTTGGAAAATGTTTAAGTCTATTATATGGAATATGATGCATGCACCCCAAAAATAAATTCAGTCATTATTTACTCACTCTCATGGAACACAAAAGGTGAAAATGTCAATAATTTACTCATTTACTATAATTCATTCTTTTGCCTGCAAATACAATGGGGACTGGAGATTTCAAAATTCAAAAAGGACACACAAGCATTATATAAGTATCAAAATTGCAGTCCATACCAATTGTGAACTATATTTAAAATCTTCTGAAGTCATTTGATAGCTTTGTTTGACTACAGTTCGAAATTTAAGACGATATTCACTGATAATCTTCACCTTCAGGGAACTGTTAGATATCATTCCACAAAGTGATGATGTCACGAACCATTACATGGTAACTTGCATATTACATACCGCTGTAATATGTCATGCTGCGCCACGTTATCGACCAGGTAGAACAATTCTTCCATCCACCATAGATCATTTCTCAAATAGCTTATCTGATCTGACTCAGCTGCTGCCTGAACTAGGGATGTCCCGATCCGATACTCAGGATCGGTATCGGCTCCGATACTGCCATTTTTGCGGGATCGGGTATCGATCAGACATCGATCAGACGAGGCCGATCCAAATCCGATATTGTGGGTATACTATTATGTGTTATTGTTAAGCCCCACAAAAGGCACAAAAACATTCTAAAGTACCATAACGTTTTCGTGCACTCTATTATAAGTGTTCTGAAGCCATTATGTGAGAGAGAAATTAATATTTAAGTCATTAAATTCAAGATCACGTAAACTTTTCCCTCTCGCGGCTGTCAGTCATTCTCCATTCAGCATTCAAACAGCGCGTCGCGTTCGGTTACAGTCAATGATGAAACTATCTTCAAGATGATTCAATGTTAATAGTATTATACTTGATCTGTAAGATAAAGGTCTATGTTTTCGCATATAACAACTTTATCTTGCTGGACTTTATTGCTGTAACTCAATCGTGTTACTCTCTACCGGGTGTCGGACGCTGTCGGTTTGATCCATAGGGTTTGATCACAACACTAGAGTCAGAGCACTATAATTGTTCTTCACGCGCACAGTAACTAAAATTTAAAACTGTTAAAAGAAAAGGCTCAATAAACGATTGCATAGATAGATACTGTATAATACACTGTCCATCAATATGTATCTCCGTTGTGCTTTGAACTTTTCAAAGCGGACTCGACGCGCTGCGTGCTGTAACTCCACGTGGCTTCAAGCGCATCATTCTCCGCTCGGGATGCGCATTCGCGCTTTGTGCCGCACTGTATTGAAGCCTTTCATATCATAATGCAATGACGCAATTAAAGCTTATTAACATTAATAATTATTAATGTTGCTGCCTCATTAAATAGCTGTGCAATACACTTAAAACATGTCTCAATTTTATAGCAGATTTAGCTATATCTAAAATAATTATCTTTTTCATTTTTGTTACCCTTGTTTTTCATGAATGTATTTTACAACAATAAGAAGAGCAATGTGTATTATCCACTAATCTAGTTTATAATAGCATTTTTGTCATAGATTATGATCATATATTTTGGGGATTTGTTGTTTATCTTTATAATGAAGCTGTCTGTATTAAGTAGATTGTGTTTAACACACACAAGAGTGATAATCAGTTTAACACAGTTATAGAAATTCTACTTGATTTAAAAAACAAAAACTGTACTGGTATTTACAATGTAGAATGCTGCTGTTTAAATTGTTTTAACTTTAAACCTGTTGGTAGCTAGCTAGCTTTAAGTATTGAAGTATCTGTATTTTCTTTCATTTATATATTTCTTTATTTTTTTGTAGTGTTTGAATAAAGGGTGGCAATCTTTCATAATCAACTGTTGTTGTGGACTATATAGGAGGTATATTTTAGGTGGCTAATTGAGAAAATTGCTATATTTTTTATTAGTTTAAGAATAAAATAAAAATATCGGATTAATATCGGTATCGGCAAAAGCCAAAGCTGCGGCATCGGTCTCGGTATCGGAAGTGAAAAAGTGGTATCGGGACATCCCTAGCCTGAACCCAAACAAACAGATGAACTAGACGAATTAACTAGCACTATGAGCTCCATTCTCTCTAGAACATTGGCTATTGTTGCACCCATTAGATTAAAAAAGGTCAGAGAAAAAAGTATAGCACCATGGTACAATAATACTAGGTATGTTTTAAAGAGAGAAACCCGTAATTTAGAGCGTAAATGGAAAAAAACTAATTTAGAGGTCTTTAGAATCGCGTGGAAAGACAGTATGTCACGTTATAAAAAGGCCCTTAAAACGGTCAGAGCTGAGCACCTCAGCAAACTAATAGAAAACAACCGAAATAATCCAAGGTTTTTATTTAATACCGTGGCTAGACTAACAAATAAACTGACGTCGTCTGAACAAAATACCTCGTTACAGTTTAGTAGTAATGATTTCATGAACTTCTTCACCGAGAAAATTGAAAGCATCAGAATCACAATCGTAAACGCTCAATCTTTGCTCGCGCCTTATAATTCAGCCGCAATTATCACCCCGCAAGAACAATTACAATGCTTTACAACCATAGAACAAAAAGAGTTAAATAAACTTATCACTTCATCTAAAACAACAACATGTCTATTAGATCCTATATACCAACTAAACTATTGAAAGAAGTGTTACCTATAGTGGAAGAGCCTCTCCTCAATATTATTAACTAATCTTTATCTTTAGGTCATGTTCCAAGAACGTTCAAGCTGGCAGTTATAAAACCTCTTATTAAGAAACCACAATTAGATCCAAATAACCTAGCAAATTACAGACCCATCTCAAATCTTCCATTCATGTCAAAAATATTAGAAAAAGTTGTGTCCGCTCAACTCGCCTCTTTCTTGCAAGAAAACGACATCTATGAAAAGTTTCAGTCTGGATTCAGGCCACATCATAGCACTGAAACTGCGCTTGTTAGAATCACAAATGATTTACTTTTAGCTTCGGACCAAGGCTGTATCTCAGTTCTAGTTTTACTTGATCTTAGTGCTGCGTTCAATACTATAGATCACACAATACTCTTAGATCGACTACAAAATTACACTGGTGTTCAAGGACAAGCATTAAGCTGGTTCAGGTCATACTTATCTGACCGCTACCATTTCGTCTACTTAAATGGAGAAAAATCGATCATAACTTCGGCAAACTATGGAGTGCCGCAGGGATCTGTGTTAGGCCCTTTATTATTCTCAATATATATGCTGCCACTTGGTAATATTCTAAGGAAACATGGAATTAGTTTCCATTGTTATGCCGATGACACTCAAATATATATTTCATCACGGCCAGATGAATACGCTGAATTATCCAAATTGACAGATTTTGTTAAAGATATAAAAGATTGGATGACGCGTAACTTTCTTTTATTAAATCCAGACAAGACAGAGGTAATACTTATCGGTTCTAAAAACCGTCCACAAAACCTTTCACAGCACGACTTTAACATATTAGGATGCCCTGTTACTTTATCCGCTACAGTAAAAGACCTGGGTGTTACATTAGACTGCAACCTGTCTTTTGAAAAGCATATTTCATATGTTACAAAAACAGCCTTTTTCCACCTTAGAAACATTGCTAAGCTACGTAATATGCTATCAGTCTCTGATGCAGAAAAGTTAGTTCATGCATTCATGACCTCGAGACTAGATTACTGTAATGCTTTATTAGCTGGTTGTCCTGCATCTTCAATAAAGAAGCTAGGGTTAGTCCAAAATGCAGCCGCTAGAGTTCTTACTAGATCAAGAAAATATGATCATATAACACCGATTCTATCATCACTTCATTGGTTACCTATAAAGTTCCGTATTAATTACAAGGTCTTGCTTTTGACCTATAAAGCTCTAAATGGTTTAGCTCCAGTCTATTTAACGGATCTTCTATCGCCCTATAATCCATCGCGCTCTTTAAGATCAATAAATTCGAGGCTTCTGGTCATTCCTAGGATATCCAGATCCACCAAAGGAGGGAGAGCATTTTCACATTTAGCTCCGAAGCTCTGGAATAGCCTTCCTGATATTGTTCGTTGCTCAGACTCGTTCTCCCAGTTTAAAACTAGACTAAAGACGCATCTATTTAGCCAGGCATTCATATAAATTTTTTATCTTACAGTTACTGTAAATTCGGCCTCTACTTCATAAACGCCAGAGGAGAACTGGCCCCCGACTGAGCCTGGGTTCTCCCAAGGTTTTTTTTTCTCCATTGGGTCATCTGATGGAGTTTTAGGACACCATCGGGTCACTTGATGGAGTTTTTCGGTTCCTTGCCACTGTTGCCTTTGGCTTGCTCAGTTGGGGATATTCAAATTAAATGACCCATCATACCACTGATCAGCTCTACCAAACTTGGATGTCTTTTTCCAGTAATAAACAAACACTGTTAAGTTGTTTTGATTGATACTGTGAAGCAGCTTTGATACAATCTGTATTGTGAAAAGCGCTATATAAATATATTTGACTTGACTTGACTTGACTGTTAACCGCTGCTAATGGGACTGTCATTGAGTTTCTCAAGAAACGGATCAATCTAAATCATGGCCGAATCCTTGTGAACCAGATCAGCCAAAT